GAGGACAACTGGGGGTGGAGGTAGGAAGACTGTCATGGTTACATTAACATAATTTATAATCATCTCACTCTTCTGTGATCATCCCAGTCATGCTCTTTAAAGAAATGAGATGCACAAAAGAGACCAGAAAAGCTTTCAAGACATACAGTGAGGCAAGGGGAAGTGAGGCTTGATGCAATAAAACATGGTAGATACCAGCCACTATCTGTCAGGTGAGTTTATAGAATGAATCTTATTGAGTTTTACCTTTATATCTCCCAGGCTCACTTTATTACAGTAGGTGGACCTATCAGGTTTTTTTTTAAATAATTTTTTAAATTTACTTTATTTATGAGAGAGCATGTGCACATATATGAGAAAAAGAGAGAGAGAGAAATAGAGACACCTGTAATGACGTTCAACATGCCATCATCTCAACCCTCCAGCTTGTCATCAGGATCTTGGGCATGCACACCTGATACTTTCAGGCAAACTCAGGGACCCAAACCTTGTGGCTTTCAGCACTATTTGCTAACGACTGTGTCACCGGGCTGGGAATATTTAATTTATTTCTGTCAAACCAGAAAATAATTAAGTGTCACAGTAACAGTGTCTCAACTAAAATTCCTTTTTTGCATTCATGACCTTTGAATTCGCCTGCACCAGAGAAAGAAGCCTCTTTGGTAAAATCTAACTAAATATTAGGATTCCATATAATAAAAATTCTTACTCAGTAATTTGAATGCTTTTTTTTTTTTAATGTAAATGAATTCCACCTCTGTAAAGCTGGGTTGAAAAATCATGTCTTTAAGAAAAGTAAAATGCGGGAACCAGCAGTTAGCGTAATGGTTATGTCGCTGGACTTCCAGGTAGTCTGCCGCGGTTTGCGTCCCGGACCCGGTGGCTTAAAACTCACGCCGGGTGCGTGTGTGTGTCCAAGATCCCGAGAGGAGAATGGAGGAGAAGGGATTGTGGCGTGACCATGCCCCCTGGGGGGTGATTTCTCGCTTTCTGTCTCTCTGTTTCTCTCTGTCTGTCTGGCGAGCGCACGTGCCCTATGGGGCGAGCGCCCGTGCCCCATGGCAAAAACCCCCCCAAAAAAAAAAAAAAAAAAAAAGAAAAAGAAAAAGAAAAGTAAAATGTATCCATGCTTTGAAAAAGAAAAAAGAATCTGAGAAGTAGCAAAGGGGTTTGGTCCCATGTGTGTGCTATGGTCTCTTGGAAGTATGTGAAGCCTGGGCAGAGAGGTGAGAATTGGATTTTTAAGAACAGTGATGAGTACCACTTCACTTTCTTACAGTGGACAAGAGCGATCTGTGCACTAAGTGTAATAACTTACTCTAATGTTTTTAAACAACGGTGGAAAACTAGCTTTAGAAACCTTTAACTTAGTGGAGATAAGAAAAACCAGGAGAGATGAATTCTCCTAATTTATGCTAATAGACAAACAGATTTGTACTACTGTCCCTGTACGTCGCAAACCAAACTGGCCTCTAGGTACCTGAGTAAGAAAAACAACATCTTTTAAAACAGAGCCTGGCCTACAAACTAAATAAGAAAGTCCAAAGGAACTGCTTTTACTAGGAAAAAATTAATTCATATAGCATTTTTTTCCTTTCTTTTCCTATTCTTTTTTATTCTTTTTTTCCCCTTGTTTAACCTAGGGCTGTGGAATGCTCTTGGTCTGTATCAGAAACAACAGGAAGCCTTTTCTTTTTTATTTTTACAAATATTTTTATTTCTAAGACTAGAGCTCTCTGACTTTTGGCTAACATGTCCAGATCTAAAGACATTGAAGAAAAAAAATGTCTATTTGCTCTAGAAGCAATTACACATGCAGTGTAGGAAAAGGCCAATTTTACTATGCAAGGACCACACATACTGTATGTTTGTTACATTATTTGATATCAAAGCAGAAACATCAAGTTCTTCTTAAAACACTCATGAAATGAAGAGCTTGGCTAAGGAACTCCCACATCCAATTCTGAGGTTATCTGTTACAGCTTATAGAACTCGGCAGTGCATTACCGCCTTACTGGAAAGGGACATTTCTATTGACATATAATGTGCTATGATTTCTTTCACTTGATAAGTATTTCAGGTAAAATGAACACAATTTTTTTTTTTTTTTTTTGGAGAGATTTTCACTGTAGGGTGCGTGCGCTCGCCAGACAGACAGAGAGAGACATAGAGACAGAAAGCGAGAAATCACCCCCCAAGGGGGATGGTCACGCCGCAATCCCTTCTCCTCCATTCTCCTCTCGGGATCTTGGGCACGCACGCACACGCGCCCGGTGTGAGTTTTAAGCCACTGGGTCCAGGACACGAACCGCGGTCCACTACGTGGGAGTCCAGCGACATAGCCATTACACTAACTGCTGGTTCCCATGAACACAATTTTGACCCCACTTGTCATATACAGGCATAGTATCAATGTATGGCACTTAGGTACCATCTTGCCAGAGTAACAGCAAGAATTTGCTGATCCTTTAACCCTTGGTGATCTCAAAATATTTAATCAGGTGTTGATATCAATATCGTAACTTCAGATAGTGTGGTTTATAGAAAGAATGGTCATCCTTGTTTTGTTTTGCATCACTGTAACATTGGTGTAATACCTTCCATTCATTTGTTTAGTAGAAACTCATTGAGTGGCTCTTACTCAGTGCCAAGCACAGGCATCAGGAGTACAGAGCTCAATGACTTGTGGTCCTTAGGGAAATAATATATCCTTGGGGAGGGACAGAAGAGATAGAAAGGGTAAAATAAACTAGGGCAATGCATGCCATATTTTATATAGTCTATATACAGAAAGGACAAAAGAAATGGCGACATAATTCAGCACGTGGTAGAGAAAAGATGGTCAGGAACAATGAAACCTGAGGTCCCCTTGAAAGAAGAAGGCTAGTTTCTTGGGTGAATTAGGAGGTAGAATCCTCTAGGAATAGAAAAGAGCATGGAAAAATCATTGAGAGTATGAAAGACCAGAGGAATATAAACCATTTGCTATTCCCAGAGCATAACTATGTTTGAAGAATGAATATCTAGAAGGGAAGGCCACACCAAGAAGGGCTCTGTACACTAGGAAAAGAAGTTTGAACTTTATACCATGAAGCATATTTTTACATATTCCCTCAAACTCTGAAAGTTAGGTAATTCTAAGTCAGACACTGGGACAATGATCTGATAAATTAATGAAGCAAAATAGGAAATGAAACAGAATTTAAAAATCTAGATAATGTATATGTAGAAGTTTAACATATGTGGGAACCAGCAGTTAGCGTAATGGCTATGTTGCTGGACTCCCACATAGTCGACCACGACTCGCGTCCTGGACCCGGTGGCTTAAAACTCACGCCAGGAGTGTGTGCGTGTGTGCCCAAGATCCTGAGAGGAGAATGGAGAAGGGATTGTGGCATAGCCATCCCCCCCGGGGGGTGATTTCTCACTCTGTCTCTCTCTGTCTTTTTGGCAAGCACATGCGCCCTATAGCAAAAACCTCTCCAAAAAAAAAAAAAGAAAAAAAAAAAAAGAACATATTGATGGGATCAGCACTGGATTCCCACATAGTTGGTTGCAGTTTGAGTCCTGGACCAAGCAACTTGAGACTCATGCTGGGCATGTGTGCAAGTGTGCCCAAGGTCGGAGAGAAGAATGGAGGAGAAGGGATTGAGGTGTGGTCATCCTCCTGGGGGGTGATTTCTCAATTTCTATCTGTCTGTTTCTGTCTCTCCAGCAAGTGCATGTGCTATTGCAAAAATCTCTCTCTTAAAAAAAAAGACTCTATTGGTATGGATAAGTATCCATGATATATATTTAACTGAGATAAACTTTATTAGCAGAATAGTATTAATAGTATGATCTGGCAAGAGAAGTAGTGAATTATAGCAGTACTGCAGTTCAAGTCCTGGACCTCACCCCCCACTTGTGAGCACATGTGCCCCATAGAAAGTAAATAAATGAAAAAAGACTACAATATAAGCTTTGGGGTGAAACAGACTTGGATTTGAATTCCAGCTCTACTGTATACCAAATATGTGAAGATTATACTATCTTTTCTGAGTTTTGTTTTCTTCATTTGCTCAATTGGAACAAATCCTAAGAGAACCTACTCACAGAGTTGTAAGGTGAATTCTTAGTACATAATAGTGGCTAAGTATATACAGTTATTATTATTACTGTTTGCTTTTCAATAATTATCATTTGCAGCCAATTCCCTTATGAAAACAACTCATAAAACCAAATATAATATTATTTGGAAAGTTATACTAGATAGAATCACATTAAGATAATTTTAGCTTATGTAAACAAAGTATTTTATTTGTCTCATCATCTAATAGGTAAGACAGTGACTTTTTGTTTTGTTTTGTTTTGCCAGACAGCACATGCAATATCCAGAGAGAGAGAGACAGAGAGAGAGAGAGAGAAAGAAAGGGAAAGCAAGGAAGTACCTCCTATGGAGAATGGCCAAGCTGCAATCCCTTCTCCTACATTTCTTCCCCCTTTGGGATTTTGGGCACACATGCACAGGCATGCTCAAGACACTGGCTCTGGGACTTAAACTGCACGGTTGGCCATGTGGGATCCAACTGTCACTTAACCACATGCCACAGGCTGGCCTGGCATCAGTTTTTGACACAGAACTGTTTAGGTTGTATATCTATATACCACAGTGCAAACAGGGAATGCATTTGAACATTATATTGAGATCTCAAAAAGATATTTAGTTTAGATAGCACCAGTTATGATAACTTAAAACCTTAATGGTGTAAATAAGAAATTGTCTTCTATTCACTAATTGATTATTAATAACCTTTCATGGTAGTTTCTATTTTGTACAAATTCAGTTTTCAATTGTATTATCAAGAAATGAATAACAAAGAAGGAAGACACCTTTTAAATATTTTTTTCCTTAACAAGACTAGGAAAATAATCCATTCAAAAGGAGAAAATATGGTAAGCATAAATATATTAAAGTGTCTATAGTAACATAAAGTTTATAGATGAAGAACCCCACATACCCTTCTGTTTTGAAAATCATTCGAAAGCTTTCTCCTAAGCTTTTGTAACTGTTTGGATCAGATGTGCATCTCTGAATCTGGAACCTAGAAACAAAATCAAACAAACAATAAAATGTAAGTTAAAGATTTTGCCAATAGCATTTTTGTTTTTCAAAGTCTTAGAAACTCAGTTTTTTTGGATTAATTTAAAATCCCTATCTTTGTGATATATTTTATTAATTTATTTGCTTCATATAATATTTACCTTATTTTCGTAGCCTTTAAAAATTATATTTCTCTTTACTTCAATAGAAATTACAGAAAAAGATTTTTTTATTCTGCTTCCTAGCCAGTCAGATGTTCCCTAGAGGCACTGATACTTTTCTTTTGTGAAAAGCATACACAGATGTATTATGTTAATGCATAGTTTAGAAATCTGAAGACATGAATGAGACAAATAAGTAGTTCTATTTTTTAATTCAAATTAATTTTCCTTGATGATAACTTAATAACAAAGTTAAAAATACAGAGCAGCTACTATGTCCTAGTTTTGATCATGATTATGAATTTGGAATTCCTTCTGGCCGACAGGACCCTGAACCTGGAGGAAGAGTTATATTGCTGTACATATTATATTATATATTATATTATATAGTTATATTGTGACTTCTTTATGGAACAGGTTGGTCATTGCAAGTGGCTAAGGCTATCAGGATCTTTGCAGAAGCATAATGCTCTGCATGTAGTTGGTACTCAATAAAAACATTCCACTTTTGAAAGTTAAATTCTTTTTCCTTTTAGGGGACTATGGACATGGATTTCAGAACTCTAAACTTCCTGTAAACTTATGAAGGTCTTGCTTTTTTTTTTTTTTTTTTTTTAGAGATTTTTGCTATAGGTCACATGCCCTTGTTGGAGAGTGGAGAGACATGCACTTGCTGGAGAGACAGAGAGACAGAAAGAAAAATCACCCCCCAGGAGCTGTGGCCATACCTCAATCCCTTTCCTCCATTCTCCTCTTGGGATTCTAGGAACACACGCACATGCACTTCACTTGAGTTTCAAGTCGCTGGGTCTAGGACTCCAACCAGGGTCGACTATGTGGGAGTCCAGCACCTTAACCTCTATGCCACCTGCTGACCCCCATTGAGAAAGCAAGCAACCAGATCTGGGATTTGAACCACATTTAGCCATGTGAGAGTCCAGAGCCTCAACCAGCACAGTACCTGCTGGCTGCCAGTTTTAATTCCTTATTTTGTATTTGCCCTAGGGTTTGTTTCTGGAGAGAGTTATGACAAGTATGCCCATATACCCCAGTTGTTCTCTATTCTCTGGTTACTTCAGTCTGCCTACTCCCTGAATTTTACTTCCTCATCCTGATTGATTTAAGACCTTTTTCTGTTCACTGCTTCTCTCCACAAAGTAATTGGTTTTTCTTTCTTTTCCTTTTTTCTCTTCCTTTCCTCCTTCTTTCCTTTTTTTTTTCTTTCTTTCCTTCTCTCTCTCTTTCTCTTTTATTTAAGAACTTTTCAAAGACATTTCTAATACTATCTAGTTCAAGATGCCTTTTTCAGGTTGTTAGCTTTAGGATATGAACACAACTTCTGTCTCTAAAAATATGCATCATTTTCTAGTTCTAGGACCCTGGAAATAGTGTTCACATACACATAAAACACAAGAGCAAAGTGCTTTGATCGAAGCAGATGGACATGTGAGCAGAATGAGGATATGATAAATCTGAAAAGTGAGGCTGGAATTACATTTGATTTTGTAAAGAGGGGAGTGGTCAACCGTTCTTATAGGGAAGCATCAGTTCAGAGAGGTGGGTGATTAGTCTTTCAGCAGTGTTCTTGGCACATACAAATTCCTAAATAAATTTTTACTGGATAGACTGGGAATATGGCGTGGAGAACAATTATGAACACCTTACAATAGTACGAGTGAGAGATAATGATGCCAGCTTAAAAATGGAAGCAATGGAGACGGAATGAAAAGGCAGAGCCTCTCTGGGTAGTCCCCTTTCTCTTTAAGTAATTTTCTGATGAGACATTCAACATTTTATCCTCTTGATTTCCTTCAATCCAGCAAGTAATATTCCGTAACCCTATATATACAATTGCCAAAGTTTGAAATGTCATAATTATTTGGCTTCATAATTTTTTGGGGTCAATTTTACACTAGTATGGAATAATTAATTTTAAAAGGTCAGTTTCTGGACAAGAGCTATATCTTAAATGTAAATTGTCCAGAGCCTGTCAAAAGACCATGGAGCATACACACATAGCTCATTTAAACTGTTTTGGATCCAGAAGTGCATTTAGTGTATATAACTACTGGCCTAGAAGACTCAGGAAGAGGTTTTGTCAAGGATCAAGAATAAAATCTGACAACAAGGTTAGATGTTACCATGTTTGGGTATTTCTGGACTGCCTGTACATAAAATAATTGGGTAATTTGGATACAAATGAACTTAGACTAAACACAAAACAATACAATATAAGCATATATGCAGGTTTAGACAATGAGTAACTTTGGAACATACACAGAGATTACAAACATCAGACTTTGGTTCTAGTTCAAATAGAATCCCCATCTCTGCCTTTACAGATTTGTAACCTATACTCGTTGCTGACTATAAGATACTTTCTTGTCTAGTTGGGAAATCCGAGACTCTTCCCTAATTGTCCTTCTAGGGAAATCATTTAAAATTTTTTCATATATTATAAAAGTAGTACATAAGCATCAGTGTTTCTCATAATATCTGTAGTAATCTTTCGTTAAGTTCATTAACCTTGGTAAATTCCTTTCTAGATGCTTTTCTTCCAAATTACTAATTATTTTCTTAACATGTGCCATATGATGTAAGATACTACAAGTTTTACAAAACTGTATGGCATTATCTCCACCCTCAAGAAAGAAATATGAGAAAAAATATAATTAACAATATAAGGGAAACTATCCAAATGTCAAGTAGCATTGGCAGTGGGTTGTCCAGGTGTTCATGGAGGGAGCAATTACTGCCTTCTGCAGAGAGTCAGGAAGGGTTTCAGGAAGGGGAAGGGATTTGAGCTGGTCCTCGTGGGATTCAGGGAGGTAAAAACAGCCAGTCAGGAAGAAGCCTTCCAGGTGGGGAAATGAAAGAAACAAAGACCAACAAGGGAAAGTTGACATTTCTAATGGGGAAGTGAGAAAAAAGATGCTTCACTGTAGCAGTCTTCCCTGAATTTCTGCAGAAAAATGTTATAGCACTCTGCCTGCTAGCTGCTTGGGGAGGGTAGAGATCTGAGCTGCGTGGAGGAGGTACCTAGGAGATAGAATCAAAGCCTGGTGTGAAGCAGTTGCCCTTTTTCTGCTGCTCAGCTGGGCACTGAGCTCCCCCTGGATGGCCATCTTGTAGTGTATGACCTTGTCCTAGACAGGGGTCTGGAAGACTCAATAGACGAACCAAAGCAAGTGCAGTTCAATGTCTGGAAGACCAACATTAAACCTCTCTATTCCTGTCGGGGTTAGAGACCTCAGCTTTACTTGTGATGTCTTTATACCTGGATAAAACCCAGGAGGATTTTCTGTCAGCGTACATAAACATGAATTCAGAGTACAGCTAATCATAAGGAACTAGTCATCTAATCTGGTTATTGAAAATCTAGTATAGTTTCTTTCTCTGTCTCTTTCACAAAAACGATTTCTTCCATGACATACACAGAGAGGCAGGGACCCTCAATAGGGTCTTCACACCACAACCCATGCTCAGTCTCAACCGGGCTGAATCATGGCTAGTCACACACCTGACATGCTCAGGGAGTTCCCAGCAAACGAATCCAGGAACTTTCCCATGGGAGTTTGCATTACTATTACTATTTTTTTTTTTATCTTTTTGGAATCCAAAAAGATAGCATTTCTAATCTATTACTCATTTCCTAATCACTAGTATGCATAAGGTACTCCAGTATTTAGAGGGCTAGAAAGAAGTAAGATATAGCCCTGCCTTTGGAAGCTCACAGTTAACTTACAGAGAAGTGCTAGTAGATGGTACAAGATGTAAGGAAACATGTTTAGGAACAGAGTTTTGAACTACTAGATGCCAGCCAAGAAGTTTTAGTAGCATTGGATAAATACTGGTATCTCTCTTATGGGGGATGAGCTCCTATTGGGTGTTGTAAAAGTAATGACACATTTTTGCATAGAAAAGCAAAGAAGAATATGCCATGACTTTCCCAACAACCTAATATTTATGGGTAGACTGCGGCTGACCAAAAGTAATACTTTGCAGAGACACAGTATGAAAGAGAGAAAACAAAGGAAAGGGTATCTTTGGGTTAAATATTTGTGATTAAACTTTAACCACCATTTTAGGACAGCTAACATAGTCAGTGGAATACACTAGTAGTGCTTCATTTAGAAGCTGACTGATGAGGGGGACCAGCAGTTGGCATAATGGCTATGTCGCTGGACTCACATGTAGTTAGCTGTGGTTCGAGTCCTGGATCCAGTTGCTTAAACTCACGCTGGGGGCATGTGCATGTGTGCCCAGGATCCCGAGAGGAGAATGGAGGAGAAGGGATTGCAGCATGGCCATTCCCTCTGGGGGGTAATTTCTCGCTTTCTGTCTCTCTGTCTCTATCTTTCTGGCGACTGCATGTGCCCTATAGCAAAAACCTCTCAAAAAAAAAAAAAAAAAAAGCTGACTGATGAATGATGCTGCGTTAATTACAAACAGGAGTGGCAACATAACCTGAAGGGAGTCCGTAGCTGTACTGGACAAGCAATATGAAGAATGGGCCGACATGGTAAATACTAATGCCATGAGAATGGTAAAGATGCCCTAGTATTCTCTACTCCACAAAAGCAGCTGTAGGTCTCATTACCGAGGCTAAGGCAAGCACAGTTGTCTCTTCTACCGTGCATCCCACAGACGGCGTGTCTACACTTTGCAGAGAAAGTACATATTGTATTTAGTTCCACTACATATGGCTTATTCTGATCACAGAGTTATCAGTTCTTCTAAGGAATCTGTTTCAAGTTGATATAATTACGTGCATTTTGGTCAATCATGTAAAACAGCAATTTCCTTCTTCCTCTCCACTCCATTTCAACAACTTGAAAGG